TGGCAGCTGTCGTTGGCCCAGCGGCAGGTCTGTGCACGGCCACCGGCGGAGGGAGCGGCGTCGCGCCCCACACCTGCCAGTTCTGCGGCAAGAGGTACGGCAGCCGCGACGCGCTCGGCCACCACATGGGTCTGCACAGTGGGCGGACCTCCTGCCACCTCTGCGGCAAGTTCTTCAGCACGTGTGGCGTGCGCAATCGACACATGAAATGCGTCCATGGAGTCCAGGTGTGACTCCGGCGCGAGCGGTGCACGGCCGGTTGGACGTGTCATGGGCTGCGGCCGCTCTAATGCAGTGGACGTTTTCCACGCGCCGTTGAAGTCGTTTCTGAAAGAACGGTGTGGCGTGATGGTTCTGTGGTGATTGGGCCGTGCGATAGTATGGCTAGTTGTTTTTCTGGGATACGAAAATACTCGAATGGAGAACTTGTCCAGTGTACTGACCTATCTAGTTGAAGCAAAGTAAAATTGCGTGATCTTCATCGGTTACGTTGTCTTTTCCGAAAAGTGTACATTTCTTCCTTTCTGCACTTCCCTTTCCGAAATAATACATGCAGTGTATGTGAGTGTTGTTGGTGCCGTTCATTGGAAAAGGCTTGAGTCAGAATACATCTCAGTGATGCTATGAGGACTTCGCGATAACCGCTGAGTGTTACCAAGTCAACAAAGATAATTCGCAACATGCCTGAGCGAGGGCCTCAGCAAGTGCCTGCTTCTGCGGTTGTTTATCAGGTCATTAATGCGTCAGTGTCGTCAGAAATTCGCCCAATACTAGGCGCTTGAAATCATGTTTTTTTTCGATATCATAGCTGGCGCAAAATGACCCTAGAAGTCGACGCGCCCTAAAACCCCAATCATCGATATCATAGCTCGGCATTGGTATGTGGTCATGTAGTTGTTAGTGCTGGGTGTCAGGAAAATCAGAAGTTCAGGATTCGGTTCTTGTTGTGCCCGCCCTTTCTGGCAGTCTGAGAGGCAGGCGATGCAATATAGACTTGGCAGAGGAGTGCGTCGTGCAGCGCCAATATACACACCATACGCGTTACACAAATATTGCATATTTTGGGACTGGTCGTGCTGGTCGATTTTTTCAAATCTCCAGGCTTTCTTGCAACATAACATTTTTTTTGCGATATCAACTGCATTAATGGCCGTTGTTTCAACTGCTGCTGCACTGTGTCAACTGCAGATGCGCGGCCGTTGTTTCGTAATGTAAAATACCTCGGGTTTGCCTTATTTGTTTGTTCAGCAAGTTCTTACGCTTATATTGCAGCTTGCCCTCATCCCCTGGTTTTGCCAATTACTATATTACTGTGAATATCTATGTTGTCGTGAGATCTGTTAACCGCATGTATTGAACTGCTGATATTGTTTGCGTGGCGCTATATTTTCTTTGCTTAAACCTGGGCTTCTGTTCCTTATATAGGTGCTACGCACGGCTCTCAGCATCGAAGCGCGCCGGAGCAGGTACTCGGACACCTGTGTGTGTGTGGGTGGGTGGGTGTGACGGGGGGGGGGGGGGGGTAACAAGCACGGAAATACGATGCGGAACGAATGGATGACGACTCCTGGGCGCAGGGTCTGGTATTTAGCAGTTTATTGGACCAACACATTTTCATGGTTTGTTAGTCATATTCTATGAACGTTTGACCATGAGATATTCTGTACAGGCATTTCATAGGTGGAGCAAGACTATGCAAACATTCAGGGAGGGCATGGACCGCACGTACATGCAAGGCGTCAGGCTTGCCGAAGCGTTTCATCCGTTCAGATCATTTTTCAGAAAACGTCGCATGAACTCTTCCAAATTGTCGACGTCGTCACCCTTTGGCCTCACGCTGCCGCGATAATTTCAGTCTCGCCACCCACATCATGCCGAGGTATTTTTATGGATTGATTGCCGGGCCGAGGAAAAACCGCGGCATTTCCTCGAAGGTGTTGTGTTACGAAACAAGCTGCCGATTGTGTAATTTACCGCCAACAGCGGCGCTGGTCTGACTGCACGCTTGGTGACGATAGTTTGTAGTCTGAACGCCATGCACCTCATCCCTTTAGCCTGCGCACCGTTGGCCATATTTGCATGCATGATGCCGTGCGCTGATCGCAGCCTGTGCGGTTAGATAACGCCGCGGGACGTGGACTGCGCTGTGCCCAATGCGGCCGCGGATACGCCAGCCACAAAGCGCTCTCCAACCACATGGCCGTGCACAGGGGCAAGACGTGGTGCGTTCTCTGCGGTCTTGTGTTCTCGTCGACCAGCAATAGGACCCGACACATGCAGCGCAGGCATCCGCAGTGTTAGCGCCCGACCAGGTTTGTGAATGGCCCTCTCATGCCCAGATGACTTGTGTTTATTGCACGGGGTTCGTTGCATGACGTATGTAGCTGGCGTTTCCCGCGAGACGAACGCAACCAGGGTTCATGACTTGCTGACCTGCGTTCTGCCCATGCACGTTACATGTTTACGGTGTGGGACATCAAACATTGGCTACTGTTTGATATCGCTGAAGGGTACGTGGTCCGCAAGATGCATGGCGTCTCTATGGCGTGGATACATTTAGTATCCATACAGTGTGTACAGCTCAACCGTTTTCGGTAATTATATCAACTCTCCCCATTGCAGATAGCTGCATGACGAAAGCAAAAAAACAAAAGCAAAAACAGAAGAAAAAACGTGACGCCGTTGGATGGATACATCTACATGAATGTATTCATGTTATCCACGTCATTTTCAACCGGCAAACTCATGCAATATTTCAACGTCTTTTTCAGAGGAAGGTGACTCCAGACTGCAGTGCAAGATATGCTTCAAGCGATTTCGATCTCAATCCTCCTGGTACCAGCACCGTCGGACACATGAAGGCGTCACCAACTGTCCAGTGTGCGGCCGCTTTCTCAGCCGGGTGTTCGATGTGCGGCGCCACATGCTATTGATACATCATATTCCCAAGGATCAGATCGATTCGCTCCTGTCGGGCTGTTGATTGGGAGGAGTGTCTGGCAAAGCGTGCCATGCTCGTCGTGCTGTGAGCTTCATTGTGAATTGTACGTATATTTTTGATGTTTTTGAATGGAAAGGGACATAAATAAACGTCGTGCAGCTCCTTGCTTTGCTCTGATACAAGGCAGTTTGGGGAGCCTTGGGTTTTGAACCGCAGTTCATGGGGTAGGCTGCCAGTATGCTACGATTGTCTTGATTCCACGTCTGAGTACACCTGCGTTCGTAGTCCGGTGAGTTTGAAATATTTTTCATTCTGATCTGAGCATGCCTGGTGGCTCCGGATAGTGCTGCCACCAATCACAGCCGAGGCATGCAGCTGCTGCCACCAATCACAGCGGCGGCTACTGCGGCCACCAATCGCAGCCGAGGCATGCAGCTGCTGCGGTCACTAGTGCCGCTCATGTAGTGACTATCGAGCTGGGCAGTGCTGAGAGCTCAAGACCAAGTTCCTCAGGTCCAGTGCACTGCAGACCGCCTGAGGGTTTAAGACCAAGATGTCTCAGGTCCAGTGCACTGCAGACCGCGCTTGCCACGCCAGATTAGTGTGTAACGTTTGAATAAAACCATAACCACGCACACATATTGTAACGTTCAGTTTGATTTGCGTAGAACTCGTCATTTGTGAACAGTGACAATGATGTTACTGATTCCATGCGTCTTTGAATTAAAAACGAATCAAACCGCTTTTTCGTCCGTCCGCGGTTGTGTCAAAATCCGGAAAAAACCACGGGCTTTCGTAGCATGTCGCTAGTAGATTCCTCTTGTAAAGGTAGGAAGCTTCGGTATACGTTATCTCCAGTTCAAATCCATTGAACCTAAGTTTTACTCACGCGCAAAATACTTGCCCACTCTCCCGTCAGACTCCAACACCACATACTACTGATGGTCAAAAACGAACCTGCTGATGCCTAGACGCAGTTTTGGCAATCACGAAGGTGGTATTGAATCTATTCACTTTAGGCGTGGCTGCACAACTTCGCTGAAATGTTATGGCAGGGGCTCTGCGTTTTCCGGCAGTGACGGGCAGATGCATTCACATAGCTATCCGTTTCCAACTCGAATACCGCATTACACGAAACAACCAGCTATGACCACCAATACCGCCTATATATGGCCACGCTCCGGCCATTTCTGCCCATTGACTGGCCCACTCCTCGTCTTTTAGGCGCGGAGTTCGCATGCTCGATATGTCACAGAAGTTTCCAATCGAAATCGTCGTGGTACGCGCACCGCGGCACGCACGCGGGCCAGACGACGTGCCCCGTGTGCGGCAAGTTCCTCAGTCGTCTGGCCGACGTGCGCCGCCACATGAACCTGCAGCACAACCTGGCCAGGGACGCCGTCAGTGCGATGCTGGCCCGGCGCACCTGACGCAACTGTGAGTCGGGCCACGGCCGCCGCCGCCGCCGCCGCCGCCGCCGCCGTCGCCGGGGCGGGGCGTCGCACGCGGCGCGGCTCGAGCAGGGCCAGTGTGCGTCCAGGTCTGGTGGCTCCGGCCAGGAGGTCGCGTTGGGTGTCAGGTTTCCTGCGCTGCAGGCTTTGTTGGGATGAGCAGGAGCCGGGGCATCGGCGCACTATCACGGTGGAAGAGGCAGCCTGCCGATGAGGTTTACGGCTGCGAGTCGCGGCATCTACTATCGCGGCAGCTGCCGCGTACCTTTATGCTCTTATTGCTTGGGTCTGGCTTTGCGTATTGCGTGATCTGTCTGCGCCCGAGTGCGGAACTGCTAAAATGGGGACACGCCTAATATTCAGTTAGTGGTATTGAACCTCGTCGACAAACACTATGTCCCGACGATGTGCTATACGCCCAACTGGACATGCTTGCGGAACCAGTCCCTTCCCAGAAAGCATACGTCTCGAAGTTTAAGTTTAGGGGGCAGTTAAGAGCAGGTGTCAACGGTGTATGATGCCGTGGGTGATGTCTCCTGCCCCGGGCCGTTCGCCTCCCGCCGGACGGGCCCCAGGCGCCGCCTGTGACCTGCACGTCCTCCCGACAGCGCCCGACTTCCGTTGCGGCCGGTGCGCGGCCGCGTTCCGCAGCTACGAGTCGCTGCTGCACCACCACAAGACGCACGAAGGCCTGACGCGGTGCCCGCTGTGCGACACGTGCCTCAACCGGGTATCGGACCTGCGCCGCCACATGGGCCGCGTGCACAAGCTGGAGCGGCCTCAGGTGGCCGCCATGCTGGGGCGGCGCGGCGACTGGCAGGCCGCCGCGCCGCCGATCTGATGACAGCCAGGGCCCGCCGCCTGTGCCACTTCTGCGGGCTCCTCCTGCCAGACGTTGGTGATACGTCGGCGGACGTGTATTTGATTTTGGTTGCTAGGGCTGTGGGGTGCCATGGGGCTCGCAGAAGATCCTCTTATATTTTAACCACTTCGGTCATTAGTCGCACGGATTGTGTTTGACATGTGGTGGTGTTGTCGCGCCTGGAGAAGAAATTGTGCCTGGATCCTGGCTTCATTGGAGCGCTCGGAGTTTTACTCTTCATTATTAGCGTTTGGAATGTGCCACATGTCAGACATGCTTTGGACTCATGATATTGTGCGACGTCCGATCCTATTGTCAGTTCATTTGGACTTCACGTCTTAAGCTAGTATGATTTTAAGGACCGTGGACTTGACGTGGTACACGTTTTATCGTGTACTCCGCGCACTTACGTGCTTCTGATGTTATCTCAAAGAAGTGTAGACGAGAGACATTCACAGAATGGTTGCCGCTGCATATCAAGCAATGTCGCGTTGCTTCACGTCCAGTCTCGGTTTGGCCCTGATTGGTCGATCGGTTGAGCGTCTGCCAATCGACCGCCGGTGTTTGTCCTTCATAGATATATTATGATCTGGCTCGTGCAAAAAGTATATATTTGTGAAGGTGGATGGTTGTGACGAAGAGAGCTTGGATTGTTCGAAGGCCGTGGCATGTAGTGCATTCTGCAATTATTGGGAGCGGCCATCCCCATGACAGTTTTGAGGAATACTGAAAATAAAATGGATTTGTTGTTGCTGGATTTTGCATTAATGCAGCGATGCATCAAAGTGTGGCTCCTTTTTCTTTAACAGATAACACCTTTTCACACCCTCCGCAGTTCATGTAAAAAAGGCGTGCACCCCAAAGCCTGACAAGCTTGGCGTTCTAACTTGGCACTGATGTCATGAATGCGCGCCTGTACAAAATCGTTTTATGTTATCTGCCACAGACGCGTGTTCTGGGCTTGTCAGGCCCGGGACGGCGCAGAGATGTGAACAGCTCGGGAGGGTGGGTGGCGCTGTGTCCACGCGCTGTTCCGCGACTTCCCTGCTCACGTCATGCACACCCCTTTGTGGGGCGCCAGGGGTTACGGCCATGGTCTTGGACGTGATTTAAATCCGACACCATCCGCGCAGAAGTCCAAATAGGCACCAACGGACGGCTACTGTGACTGTTCCGAAAGAAGCGCGATCCGTGAAACGTCCTCTGTGATCCCCGGCTGGGCTGCTTATTTTTGCATTGCTTGCCCGTAGTCTCAGTGTAGTGCATGCTTCATGGACATTATGATTTTGGCCGATTCATGGGTGTATGGACTGAGTGCAAAATGCAGAAACGATAGACGGTGGGATTGGTTGTCATTTGCTGACAATGATGCTATGGATGCTATGGATGCTATGGATGTTTGACGTCACAAAAAACTATAAAGAGATACACGCAAATCATGCTACCAATGTGCATTGTTCATCTAAGTCGGTTGCACCTCCTGAAGATCATTTGCCTTTTTTGTGCTTAAAATGAACAGGACATTGTTGGCCCAAAAGACAGCTTTTCAACACCAACAACTCATAAGCAACTCAGATATTGGCCTACTCACCTATACCTCCCGTCGTGGTGCTGAAGCCTCAAATACCTACAATTAAAACACCACTGCCTTGAATTCATTCCCGTAGGATCCGTGTTTACGTCCCTGCTTCTACAGAGTTTACAGTAGGACTAACTGCAGAATTATTGCAGGAGAAAGTGCAAGCTCCTGCCAAGGAGTTGTTGAATTTATTTATATGTGTCGAAACTGTCTACTTGCTTAAAAAAAGCCTTTCGTTCGTGCTGTGTGTGTGGGGGGGGGGGGTACTCAACCCCTCGAATGTTTTTTTTGCAACCGCATTTCTATGCAACTTTCAGAGCCAAGGAATAGTACGATAGCGATGCGCTCCACAGCGCTCTACGCTTGTGCGCGTGGCTCAAAATGCTTTTGGCCACCCCCTCAGCATGAGCACGTCACCGTTTTGAGGACTGAAATGCACCACACGACTGGCTGCTTCGACGGCATGACGCCGCTGGTGGCCGCGAGGAACGGGCCCTGGATGCACTGAGTACACTGAGCTCACCAGACGGCTCTGGCAGACGAGCGGCACAACAGCCGGCCGGCCGCCCGCCTGCCCCCGCTCACTAGGCCGCTGTTGTCTTGCAGGTGTGCCGTGGCCGGCGGCCGGCGGCCCAGCCCTGTGCCGCGTGTGCCAGCGCCCGGCGCCGGCCGGCCGCCGCTGCTTCCGTTTCTGCGGCGCCTCGCTCAAGCCGCGCCGCACGCTCGACATGCTGCAGCAGTACACGGAGCGCGCCACGCAGGCTCTCGAGACGGGCAGCATCTACCGACAGGTGTTCTGGAATTGGTGACGCGGCCGCTGCCGCTGGTGACACGTCGGTGCTGGTGGTGCGGCTGGTGGAGCTGGTGGCGATCGAATGGTGTTACCACCAGCGAGTGCCAGTCGCGGAACAGCCGGACGGCGGCATGGGAGGCTCTGCATTGCTCGTGAAGTGTGTGTTTTTATGTGCGAGCAACGTGTGGTTTACTAATACAACCGTCAGCGACTCGTTCAATATGTTGATTTTTTTTTCGATGGCTCGCAGACGCATGACGAAAGACAAATGATGATGCCTCCATTTTTATAGCAGAAGCCGAGCGAGGTGCTGCCGGCGTTTATACCCCGGTATAGTCGTTAGTTTGGTGGTTATTTACCTTCGCTCAGAAATATGTTGAGGTGAAGTAAAAATTTTGGGCGGTGCCGGAGGTGAGCCTGAGAAAATTTGTTGCCCTGAAATGCGGAAGGGAGGCGAATGGGTCCCGTTGCTCTCCCACCAGCAGGCATCGCCATGTTATGATGGAAAAGGCACTCCGCCCTGAACCAGTGTCCTTTTAAGTAGTTCAGGCATGCCAGCATTTTTGAGAGCGCGTCGGAATTAACAACGTCGATTTTCATGAAATGCCTTGGCAGGACGGTCATTCTTTGTGATACCGTTTCAAAAGTAATGGAGGTCAATTTCTGTCAGCTAGCTGGTACAATCAGTACGGGCTGCTCGTGAGGGAATGTTGTGCATTTTGCCTTCGTGGGCACTGGTGAAATTGGACTCAAACAACAAGCAAATACTTGCATCTGCACCACTGGTACAAGCGTTAATCACTTGGTAACTTTGTTCCAGAATTACAGGCCATCGAGCGTGGGAGCGAACTGGCTTGGCAGTGCTGATCAGTGCCAGCAAGAAATTGTGCGTAAATCTGCCCTTTGCGGCCCACAAAAGAAAGTGCACACTGGAGAAAACCACGTGCCAAGTATGCCAAAACGTGTTCTCCGACTAAAACGAACCTGAAAATACATGGGGAAACCATTCATCGCGCTGTTAGCCGCCCTTAGTTGTTTCCATCGGGTCGGTGCGGGACGCGGATCAGTCAGGTGCTGCTCTAAGACATCTGACGGCAAAGCCTTCACCTGTGTCGCTCAGCTGCAACTCGGTGTTGGTGATGCATTCGCGTGTTTGTCAGTGCTTCCCTGTGTGAAAGAGGCTGATGTGTGAGGCCGTGAAAAGCCGCGGGTGCAATGCTGCTGGTGCAATGCGAATGTGTACATTCTGTGTTCTGTCAACCCCCGTGCAGCTGTGCCATCGACGAATACAGTCTTACGCTGATTTGGGTGTGTTGCTGTTGGCATAGACGTGGAACTGGGAGGTAAATGACGGTCGATCGCCGAAGCGGCGGTGTGCGGACAGTGCTCGGTGGTGAGCGCGGACGTGCGTTACACTCGCAGCGCCGTCTATCGTTGCATGGTCTTGCGCCGAACGCTGGCTAACCCGCCGTGTTACATAGCGTGCTGTTCGGGGCCAGCGAGACGCCCGATATGCGGTTTTTGAAACCTTTTTTCGAAATCCGTTCGGAGGTGGGTACGACTACTGCGTGAGATATAACGGAGTGTGGCAAAATTCCTGGATATAACACAACCACGTTGAAACCAGCACGCCCGGTATCACCCAGCCTGCTCCACAGACCAGGCTCTCGGAATAAAGCGTGACGTCATGATGTCTGCGCCATAGTTATGCCAGCAATATCACATCCAGAATACGTTGTGCATTACGCAATGTGTTCTGTCGGGCAATGGCGGACATTTCGTTCCCACCCCGTCCGCATTTTCATGGGTATAACGCGGACAACGAAGTGCCGGGATGCGACATGGGACTGCTGTAACATCAGACGAGGGACGGCAGATAGAAGCAGCGTCCTGTTGCCCCTCGCCTGTCAAAGTGGTCCGCCGCGTATGGCTGCTTCAGCCCAAGAAGCGCAGTAGACGCTAATGATGACGGAGTGGGGAGCAGTTCGACGTTGTGCAACATCCGACTCACGCAAACGGTGATAAATGTTTTCCATTGCACGGAGACGCGTTTTCTTTTAGCGAGAGGGTTGAGGTGGTCTTGAAGGGTGTGGCACACGCGAGGGGTGGTCCTTTCAACGAACGCTCCGCGTGGTTGTGATTGGTGCCAGTGGAGGCGGTCGGCCAGGTCAAAACTTTGTTTTTTATTATCAAATTCGTGAACTGTATCAGTCCATATCAGCAGGGGAGGCATTGAGCTCCTGGTTTTGGCGTTGAGTGCGGAGTACTTATGCGGACAATAAATGACGTGCATTATGCCTGAAGAGATTGGTTGAAGATGTGTTCTAGCAAATACTGATTCAATTATCAAAATTGAAAATCGGTTTTCGCTACATGGCCTAGAATGGCCTAGGCCTAGATGACGTCATTTAACCAGTACCTCTTGATATATTGGAGGTCGATTATTGCCATGATATGAAGCCATAACTCACGAAGTGACCATGTCAGGCCACAAATGCATTGCCTTGGTACACGACTTTACTGAGAATCCTCGATGCCGGAGTGGACTTAGCATGTTTGAAGCTGATCTTATTTTGGCAATGGAATGCACCACAAGTATTTAAAGGGTTGACCCTATAGGGACCTAAGCCATGGAACAAAGTTGCGGCCTACGACGCCTCGTTCCGCAAGTCGCAAATTTTTCAGCCACAAGTCACGACGGGTGATAACTGTATTTTTACGATGCCGGGCGGGAAGCAATAACAATAACACCTTTGACGCTGGAACCAGCATTTTTAATCAGCACATACTGCATAAATGTAGGAAGTAAAGGGGGTCATACCTCGTGTGACGAGAACCCCCGCCAGGCCGCTCTGTCACCTGCGCCAGTAATTTCCGTGTCTTTGCAGATAAACATCGCCCTTGGTTCTCCATGAAATTGAAAGAAGCTGGCAGCTACCGGTGCACACAGTGCGACCGCTCCTACACCCACTCGTCCGGGCTGGTTAACCACATGGAGATGCACCGCGCGGCGAGACTAAGTGTGATTTCTGTTCCCGGGTCTATGCCACGAAGGGTTCGCTGAAAAACCACATCGAAATGGTTCATTTCAAGAATGGACAACCTCGACAGTCGTCCGACTAAGCGAGTGGGGGTGTAGTAAACTCAGCACAGGCGCCAAAATGCTGTTTTTTTGGGGGGGGGGCGAGTGGGTGAGGGCTGAGTGGTGTGGGCGTGGGGAGAGAGGGAGTGGCGCCACGTCGCCGTGGGCATTTACATGCTGGCGGATCTTGCCAGTCCTGGCGCCACCAAACGCGCTATAGATGACTTCGTAGGAAGGACCGCGTAAACATGTTCATGGTGAAGCGGCTCGCGTGCATGTTACCCTGGAGGACGCTGGTGTGATCAGTGTAATCTTAGGGGCTTGTTTTGTGCGACATTTAGAGTTACCATTTGCCCGAGCCCTGCTGTGACCTTACACATTTACCTGCACTCCTCAAGTCAGCCCACTACCGGTGAACGTAGCAATGTTGAAGGGGGAGATATTACAAAACGCGTGTATTTGTGATTTGTCTAAGTGATTATTAGTAGTAAGATGTGCAGTTGTCATTCATGCGAGACCGTTGACTGGCGCACACATGAATTGAAACGTGATTAACGTGTATAAAGCTTATTAGCTCGGAAAGCTTGTCCAGTTTTATTTGCGGCGTTTACGTCGGCGAGTGTGTTGCATGGCGTTCATTTGTTATGGGTACGTTTACCACCGGCGTGGATGCACAGGTGGGTCGTGTTAATCAATTGACATTTATGTGAGCGCGAGCCACGCACGGCGCAGGTGTTGTGGCGCAGGGGCTGAGGCCCCTGTTTGTGTGGAAACAATCATTGGCCGCAGCTTGCTAAGCGGATCAGCTTCGTCCGGGTCATCCACATCAATATACCGGCGCACGGCATCTGCCCAGTTTTTCCGTCATCATCCCTATGTGGTA